CTATCGAATTGCTATAGTCATTTTAATTTGTATAGGTTTTTGATTAAAATTTTTAACTGTATTGTCATCTTCGATTAATATCGTGGCGAGCTAATAATTTTACATAAATTAAGGGATCAGAACCAATTTATTTGATTTTCAATAGCACGATATTTTTATAATATTTTTGCTTGCAGAGTGATAGAGGACGACGTTATGCGTTGTCCTATTTTATTGGAAAATATCGCGACGAAACGAAAATTAACATTTTATTTGATGGAGTAACATTTGTAGATATCTCATGTGTGCGCCGTGATCTCGCATGACAGTTACCAAATGTCGAACAACATCTTTCCGATGTACTAATATTTTTTCAAGTGCTCGAACACGTTTCCTGAACATTAATGCATTTTTAAATGTGCCTTTTGATATCATCTTACGCGCTCATTGGGTCGTTGAATTCTTCGTATTATTTTACATTTTTTTCTAAGTAAAAATACCACTTATTATTGAAATCGATATTGGAATTAAAATATTTAAAAAATTGTCGATTTTTTGACATATGTGCCGGTGATTATGAGAGTAACCCAAGTCATAGGTATACGGGTATAACTAAGTCATAGTCCTGTATATCTAATTTCGGAATATTTAAAGTTTCGCTCTTTAAATATATTATAAATTCGAAAAATGAATTACGACGAAGCTACAAACTCGATTCAGCGGTTCAGTTCTTCGCTGTTTTGCGAAAAATAGTTTCATTTTATCGAGGTGCGAATGAATGCAATCCACGATAAACGACAAAGTCGGTCCTCTTGAATTTTCGATACAGCCTACTTTCATAATTACCGGTACACACGTGGACTGATACATTCATGTAAGAAAGAATAGAAATATAAGATTGCGTGAAGAAAAATTGCTGACATTCGTATGTTCCGAACGCGACAATCTACAAGGAAGCTAATTGCATTCGATTACTTCTCTCTTGAAACGAAACGAGTTCTATTAAAACATTTTTGGAGCAGCGAACAATGCGAGAGATAATTGCATTTATAGATTGAAACGGCTCTTTCTGTACACGTGTTCGGCGATATATTTAATCAACGTAGGTCCCAAAGTCAATCCTTTCGACGAAAAATCGTCTCTTCTTATCTACGAATATTCGATACCGTAAGTAAGCTCCTCCGCGAAGCTTTGAATGTAGATGTCATTTTGCAGAGACACTTGAAAATTATCTTCTATTCATCTCTCATAATTCTGAGAACGAATAGAAAGAAAACACATCATTCACTATGATTATGGCAAGCTAGATTTGCATCAAATTTGCACGGTAGATTTATCTATCTTCATCTATTAGATATTAGTAATAATCAAACAGCGGATGTTCATGCGAACGTCTATTTTTATTGAAAACAGATAAAACTATGGTATCTTCATGGATACGTGTTTTATGACTAGGGAATTTTAAAAATACACCATTTCTTTTGTATATTTTCCATATTTCATACGTTTTGCAGATATTTATTGGCGATGAGATCAATCGATTCAATAACATATGGAAACACGTATAATGTATGTAAAAATGTCAATAACAAATCATTCTCTAGGAAATGATAAGAAATGCAGCTGTGATATTCTTGGATATATTCCTCATCGCGGGGCAATTTAATACAGTTCGAGGTAGCGAAGTATTCGTAGTATCGATATAACGCGTACTATAAAAATATTAAATCAACAAGGAAATTTTGTAAGCATCTATGTGGTGTGAAAAACACGAAAAGGAAATTTATTGCAATAGATCAACGAAGCTAACATTATACCATATTTTCATGTATCACGTAGCTTATTTGCATCTATCAACATATTTTATGTACATGAAGATCCTCAGTCTAGTAATAATCCTGCGTTGACAATTTTGAACGAATTTCTAAATCATTTCCTATATTTTTGCTCACTCAGGTATCGAATATTCGTAGATAAGAACAATAAATATTTCGTTGAAAGTCTTAATTTTAGTATCTACGTTGGACATCTTTACTCTCCTCTGTGATTGCTATAAGCCCTTAAAATGATGAGTTCCCTATTTACAATACCCCTGTGCACGTCATCACTTAGCTCATCGCTGGGTATAGCCTTATTGTCGATCTAGAAACTTCACAGTTGCTTTATCGTCTAACAATAAGCGTTACGACATTCATTGAGCACTTGACATGACGATGCATATGCATTTTCATTCATCTTCAACGCACGTTGTGCCACTTCCATTTTCACTTTTTGCGATGATGTAATCACCTGATTTAGATGTTATGCAGAGTGTTTGTAAAATCGTGGCATAACTGATAAGAAGGTAATTCTTTGTAAAATAAGCTTTCTTCATGCTCGGGACTTCTTTCCCGAGAAAATCGAGTTTGAAGATTTGGGCTCCGTTTGTGTATGTCCAATTTTCCATTTCCGATGCGATTCAACATTCCAATTAACTTGCAGTAATCATTAAACGGCAGTTCTATAGTTTTCATTCATGTTTTCGGATAAGAAGTACAATTTGAAAATCGATGAGACTGGACCGTAACCATCGCCAATGGTTCTCGTTAACATGGTCCCAGCTAGTAATTATCGAATCCTTGATAATTAACGCGATTCGATCGAATGTTCCTTCTCATCGAACTTGTTACTAATCGTCTTCATTAATATTCACTACTCGTTGCCGGAAAGTTCTTTCTTCCAATTGATCAAAATGGAATAAAATCACATTTTTCACTCCGTAGCATAGTTGTTTTTGATACTGCAATAAATAATAAAAGAAAAAGACAGAAAATGAAAGGGAAAATAGCAAGAAGTGCACGTGCGTTTCATTCAAGTTCTGTTGATGGACTCGTGAATGAAGCTTCTTAGTAGATCTGTGCATTAAATAAGGGATAGCTAATGTTGGGTCAGAGATTCATTTGTATGAATGGGTCGACTAGACGAGGATTTATGAGGAAGTTAGCCGATGGAGAATCTTCTTATGGTGAGAGTAGCGAAATCCCCACGTGGTTACAGAAGAAAATAGGTTAGGGTTAATTTTGAGGTTAGAGAAGTCTGTGGATGTTGGCTCGATTAGTTGAGCTCTAAATTTTACAATTAATGGCATTATTTTAGGTATAATGTACACTTAATTTTTAAATTGAAATCAAGTTTAGTTTAATTTTAATATCATGTATCGAGTTACGTTACTAGAGCTAGGTAATTTTAAGATTGAATAGTTAATTACTAAATGTAAATTAAATTAGGTTTCATGAATTTTCAATTTTATTTCATTTATAAGGTATCGGGTTGAGTATATGAGCTTTCCAATATGAATATACCTTACTCTTTTAATAATACATTTAGTGATGTATATAAATATTAAAATGAGGTATTGAACTTATTTAATGGTTTAATTTAATTTTATATTGATGCTAAAATCGATGCTTATGTACATCTATTTTCGAACTTAATGTTAAGTACTCGATCATGGATCTATTCAGTCGAATTTCCATATTTACAATTTTCTGCGTGAGTGCATCAGCGTTTGCCATGGTAATTCACTGAATACATTTTCGTATAAAGCATCGTATTAATATCAGATCCGGAAATAGGCGCACAAATTAGTTAGCATATAAATAATTTAAGCTGATTGTAATCTATATTAATTATTCTGGGTCTTCCTGGCGATTTTTTCAATTTCTTTTGTTAATAAATCACGTAAAATATGTTAGAGGATTAACAGTTTACGATTATTGGCATCCGATATAGGTACGAATCGTATTCATAAATGTTACAAAGTACAAGGTTATCGTTATGCAACGAGATTAGAATACGTATCGTAAATCATTGAGTATGCAAAACGGTCTACTCCAACTGTTGCTCGAATGCATTGCCGTTAATCCATAAGCAAACGCGCGACAGTCAGACGGATCTAATTGGATGACCTGCAAGGTTGATTTCTTGCTGAAACACTTAGCGCGCCTTGCATATTTCACGTTTCACTAGTAATGGCTTTGAGTGACAATCGAGTTTATGCGAGAAGAAAGTAGAAACTGTAATCAAATGTAAATATCGGAATTAGCCTGGAAAAGTCTTTAGTCCTATGTCTTGCTTTACTTATTTTAGCTTACCGATGCAGCGACGAGATACACTAGTATCAAGTAAATAAAATAAATTAGAAACAATGAATACACTCGCTGTTACATTTCACATCTCTTTTTCTTGTATCAGTGTTTGATTTTACATAAATTACTCTTCAGCATATTCTTCTGTTGAATTAGTTACAGATACTGCAAATCTGTTTCAGTCCTAGATCATCTTTGGTTATGCTTGGTAACTTGTGAAACTATAAAATTTTTAAATCAATTTTTAGTTAATAGTCATCGAATGCGAGACCAAAGTCTGTAACTTACCGAAAACTTAAAATAATTACCATTCGCTTTGCTAAGAGATCAGAGAAATTAAGGTACTTCAGAGTGGTCGACTAACCACTGAAACGCAAGTCCATAAACCAACGACCTGCTACAAGGAGGAAATGATTCCAGATGAGTAAATGTTACCGTCCACTTATCTGAATCGTCAATAATCGGAAATCAATTTTACATCACCGGAATAGAATTACGTAATTGTTTGACATGTTATTCACACATTTCGCCTGACCTCGTTTATCTTCCCAGGAAATCGACATCGTTTTCTGATATTATCTTTTCACGCAGATCACCGCTAATTACTATCCGTGGAAAACCGGTTTGTCAGATGAATCACTGCATTGATTTTTTTTCAATTCGTTTCAATGAAAAACAGACTAATCCTGTACGTGACTCGTAACATCAGGTTGATATAGCGAATCGTGTTTTTATTTCTTCGTCCATCAAATTAATCGAGATCATAATTTAAAAACGGTATTTTGTCCTAGCAGAGAATTTCTTTCATAACGAAGAAATAAAATTTTGTATAACTAATAATGTAATCAGTTGTTTAATATTTGATCGATATTAATTAGGATTTAATGGCAGCCGATTAATTGGAGATGCGCGAATAAGCGTAGAATCGATCGAATCTCAGTGGCCAGAGAAACTGTCGACCAAATAGGAGGCAGAAATTACAAGGCGCGAGCACTCGGTTCCTGCTGTTCCCTCTGCTGTGTCTATCTTTAGCTCGTTCTCTACAGGCTGTTCCAAAAGAGAGTCAAAACTTCTCCACAAGGATACGTAATTTTTGAGCGAATATTTTCTCCAAAGATAACGCTAAAAAAAGAGAAAAATAAATAAATCGGACGAAAATAAATTAATAATAAATCGACTAAAGTAATTATCTTTAGTAATTAAGGTAATGGATTTCCTTACTGGGATAAATGTTTCGATCACTAGACTGAGGTTAGATTCCAATCTTCTTGAAATATTCAGTTATCAAACATAGGTTATGTCTAGATTAACTTACAAATTTAGCGCTCAGTCGTTAGGTTTGGAACAGGTTTAGGTTAACTGCGAAATCAAGTATGTAATTACTATATTTAGATTTAGGTTAGGTTTGCTTAATTTAATTTTCAAGGCAATCTGATCTTAACAGTAACATCGTGTCGAGTATTAGGTTATGTATCCAATCCACTGCTAAGCTTATTATTTCAAATCTATCGTTTATCTTTGTACGTAGTTTATTGTCGAAATTTATACTCAACTGTAATTGTACTCGATCGTGCTACTCCTCGAATTGTCCAAATTCCGTGAATCCCAAGTCCATTCGGAGATAAATCTTTAACACGTTTCTTCTAACGTGTATCATTTCCGTTGCATACCGAGTTTCCTATTCGAGTCACTGATGTACCGACGCATACAAAACAAATAGCAACGTGCACCGTGCTCGGTACACGTGGCGTGAACTGACAGAGCGGCGCAAAAGCGACGCGCCGCGGCACATGTTAAACAACGCAGCATGGATGCCGTCACGGCAGCACAGGATCAACCGTTGCAACAGTGGTTCGACGAAGAACGAGTCCTTCGTTCCTCGAATCTCACGCGTCGTTTGCTCGAACGATTCGGCTAAAGTCGCGAGCAGACGTCATTATGCTGCAAGACACAGCCGTTTGAAACTTATTCACCGCGTCTGCCACGGCTCGTCGCCCTTTTTTTTTTAAAACCGTCGCGCGAGCGTTCCACCGATACTCGACCGCGACACGACGGCTATTGAAACGTGCGTGCGCTCATTAACGCGCGATGAAATCGAGGAAGAGCCACGCCACGGCGGATACCGTGACGGTGAGGCAGCATCGAACTTCGACTCCCTAGAAACGGTCTGGTGAAAAGTCTGGCACGATGATGGGACTAAATGAACTTCGGAATTGTTGATACACGCAGTTGATTATAAAATAGAAAAAGTAAGAAATGTTATTTTTTACGATAAGCTATTCTAGAATAGAATATTACTAGAAAAAGTTCTTCAGTCTAGGGGAAAGAAAAACAAAAATTCTTTTCTTCATTGCCTTGTCTTTATATACTTTGTTCGTACAGTTTTAACGACACCCTTGTGAGAATTTTTAAGATCTAAAATTCTTTAAAATTTAGAAAAATAATAAAAGTCCTAAAGAAGTCTCCTTTTCCAAATAATGGTAAAGAATTCTTTGTCCTTATATATATATAATAACTTATAACGTTGTCAACTTACCTATATACACTGTCAGATCCGAATAACCAAGTTAAACGTTACGTGGACAAGTGACATAACCTTAAATTGACATTCTAAATTGTGGTTCACGATTTCACTTCAGTTATTACTAAATATATACCATTTGCTTGTAAATTAAACGTGCTATAATAAAATCACGCAGTAAATAAACAAATACTATACTATATTACATATACCTTATATACTATATATACTATACTATATTACATATATTATAGCAAAAGGGTAAATATCCAATTACAAGTTACAGAAAATATAGGAAACTTTGATATACCCTATTTATCGATATAACAAATGAAAATAATAATATTTCGTTATTATAATAACAATATAAGATAAAAATTAACTCGATATCCTGTTTCACTCGATTTAATTTCGCAAAAATGTGTCAGTATAAACATGTCATCGATTAAAAACATATGAAAATAGAATCAATCTTTAAGCAGCATCTTCAACTAGACCATGAACTAGTCGGCATAAGATGTCGGACCCGGACCACGGAAATTTAATCGTTTCTACAACAAAAATGGCTGTTACGATCAGAAAGTTCGCGATGCTTACGGAAAGTCAAAAGCAAGGATCTCATCCGAAATCGATTTTATTCATACTCGAAAATCTTTACTTTTCCAGACATCGAAAACAATTAAGAACACCTGTGAATGGAACCGGTTGAAAGAGCAACGAATTCCTGCACCGCACTTTGTGCTTTCCGTGTACATTTTTGCACTCGTATCAGCGGAGGTTTCTTTTGTGGAGATAGGGGGCGGTGGGCGGCGGAGAAAATCCCGGTTCTAGGGAAAAAAAAGGGAAAGAAATTGCTGGTTTTTTTCCCCCGGTGGCCAGGGTATTTGGGTCGCGTGTCCCACATTCCGGCCACGTCAAAGTTAATTGCAGGTGTTAACGACGATTACCGTCGTCTGTGCCGGCTGGAGGCTGTTTATATCCGTGTGTGTCTGGCCTTTTGTACAGCCAGGTCGAGCGGGATGAATCAAATTTCTCCCCCTTTGTTTCCTGCCTCCGCTTCGTAATTTCGCCCCCTTTTTTTCTTCTTCCTTCGCTTGCTCGGGCTCTTTCTCTCCTTCCCCTTTTTCTGCTCGTCGTTTCCCTGTCGGTGAAGAATGGCGAATCGTCGACCTGGTATTTCTCGAGGACAGATTCCTGGCGTTCGAACCGTTCTGCTCTGCGGCCGCTTGCAAATGTGCCACGAATAAGCTTCCGATTCTTTGGCTCTACATGTGCGAGTAACTGTGTCGAGATGATTTCTGCCGCGAAATTTTAAGTCCATTTGCTCTCATAGTTGCGGCTAGTGTTGGCAAGTCCTTCCTCGACCAGGGTAAACCTGTGAAAAGAAACCAGATAAAATATACCTACATTTTTCCACGGTTCTTTCAGATGTTTTGAAATTCGCTTATAATTTATATTTTAGTATCTCTAAAATCTAAATCGAATGAGAAAATAGAGGAGGAATCTTGACAAAAATTCCCCGGATTAGTGGCAATCATAATTGCGATTTCTTTGAGAATTTTTAATGAAAATTTGGGGAATGTTAGTGTTAGGTTAGATTAGATTATTTTATGTATTTGAAAAGAGCTGGAATAATCGCAATGCACGCGATTGGATGAGGCAATATCTTTTTCAATTATCTTCTGTCGCTCTTCATTGTGGATCCGCCATTAAAAGTCAATCATGCGTGTAGCAGGAAAGAAATTTCAAAATGGAGAAACCAAAGAATTAACGTTGAATTTTTAATGAAAAATTGGGGAATGTTATTTTTAGTTTAGGTTAGGTTATTTTATGTATTTGGAAAGAGTTGGAATAATCGCAATGCACGCGATTGGATGAGGCAATATCTTTTTCAATTATCTTCTGTCGCTCTTCATTGTGGATCCGCCATTAAAAGTCAATCATGCGTGTAGCAGGAAAGAAATTTCAAAATGGAGGAACCAAAGAATTAACGTTGAATTTTTAATGAAAAATTAGGGAATGTTGTTGTTAGGTTAGGTTAGGTTATTTTATGTATTTGAAAAGAGCTGGAATAATCGCAATGCACACGATTGGATGAAACAATATCTTTTTCTTCTGTCGTTTACTGCGGATCCGCCATTAACAATGAGCGTTGGAGCAACTAACATCCTTTTTAGATTCGGACCAAGGTTCTAGGTAAATTTAACACGAGCAAAATGCTGGAATATTAAAGCTGGTTTCCGTTGACTTTTATTATTGGCGAAAACGTACGAATTATAGAATTCGTTTTAAGGTATTATGTTAATAACTGCTAATGCAGACTAAAAGAAGGAAATTGCAGGTTATTTTACAGGCGCTTAATGAAGTGTTTAAATTTGTTTATTGCTTCGTACTACTTTCCTTCACCTTCCTGCTAATTTACAAAATGACGTAATTTTATGTCAGTGGCGGCTAACTATAGTTCGAGAAACGGCGTAATAATACCTCGAACGCAATTGGCTGTAATTTTTGAAAGGACGTAATCTGACGTCAGATGCAAGCAGCTACAATTTGCAAGGCGACGTAATTTTACGGTAGCCATAACTGGCTATAGTCTTCGAAGAGACGTAATCTTACGTTTGCAATTGGCTGTGTGCGAACTTGTTGGTGTTAAATCTACTGTCTTCGATCGTTTTTATACTTTCCATTCTGCTTCTAACTCTGCTTCTAATTCTGCTTTCTGATTCTGCTTCTGTATAATCAAATTTCAGACATCCATTTTCATTTTTATTGCATTTGTTCTGATAGTCGTACATAGTCTGCTAGAATACTATAAGGACAGTAACATCATCAAAATCTGTTTCATCTGCAAGGAATATGTTTTTGGAAAATGTACTATATACTTATTATTTTTCAGATGTATACAGTTTACTATCAAAATCTTTCAAAAACTATTTTATTTATTTATTCCGCTTCTGTATAATCAAATTTTAAATATCCATTTGCCTTTTTATTGCGTTTGTCGTAATAGTCACACATAGCCTGTTAGAATACTATAAGGATACTAACATCATCAAAATTTGTTTCGTCTGCAAGGAATATGTTTTTGGAAAATGTACTATATACCTATTATTTTTCAGATGTGTACAGTTTATTATGAAAAATTTTCAAAGACTGTTTTATTTATTTATTATTGCTTGCATTTAACTGTAAAAAATATAGTTTTTATTTGATATATTACTACTAGAAATAGGAATACATCAATTTTTGATAGATTTAGCGTTAAAAAATAGAAAGCAACAATACCGAGGTATAATTAGCTAAGAACCTATGAAGATGATACAAAACTTATATTGAGTAAGAAGATATTGATTGGCACACAATATTACAGGAAAATTCACCTAATCAGAGTAGAGCAAAATTTTTTTTGTGGACGATAAGATGATGGAGCATTAAAAATGAAATATCTTTGTATGAAAGGTTTTGTTATATCGTGTACTATTATAAAGTTACATTTAAAAAGAAACGAAGAAAGCATTGACAATTCGATCATTAATTTCAGTTGCTTAAACTGATATTCCACGAAAAAGAAAAAAAAATTGTTGCAGTGTATAATGTATCATATTCCATCAGCACACAATAGCTCCATTAAAAACAATAAAATTAATTAAAAAATATTTTTAAATATTTATTGTAGATAATTTGTCATACTGCATCGACACATGGAAACTCCATTAAAAATGAGAAAATTCATTAAAAATGGTTTCAAATATTTTTTAATTTGTATGGAATTCTGTGAGTGTACATATCACAACAGTGTGCATATTTTTATTACATTTGTATACATTTTTGTTCTACGAACAATTTCGTGGTAACACAGTGTACCGCTATGTGCTTTTTCCATGTACAGTAAATCGACGTAAAAATGGCGTTCTCCATTCAAGAAGTACATCCTCTTCTTTAGAAACTCTGTAGGATATTGGGCCACGAATTCGTCCAGAGGGCAGCACGGTCGCGACGTTATCGCGGTAAAAATAAAGGGAA